ATTCCCCTAACCACACAGGGTATTTAGGAAGTTCTTTTGTTTCTCGTTGCCTTTATCAAGCATCACTTGGAGACATACCATCTGTGCCAGGTGTGCTCCACCCCGAAAGGCGCGGAAGTGTTAATCTGTAGATTTATCGAGGCACTCAGAGCAGATGAATCTCACTAGCCCTAACTCAAGAAAATAGAATCTGTAGGAAAGACGACAGTACTTACTAGGGGAGGGAGGAAACCGCTGAAGCCAAAATACAAAGAGAAGAACCAAGGGCTGATTCCCAGCCGAGTCTGGAAGGGGTGAGGGACTCCACACAGCATCTGCTAGACCGGTCCCCGCGTCACAGCAGAGGCATGACCTTAAACCTCCATTTACGCAAGCTCTTAACCAGCAGGCTACCACTCTTTTTTAAGTCAAAGAAAACTGAAGAAAGAAAAAGTAGATACCTTTATATTTCTGGGCCTTTGGGAGGGTGGTTTGACTCTGGATCTCTTCTGTTTATTTTCATTTGGGACGCTTTCAGAGCCACAAACAGCAGCAGTAAAACCACAGTGCCCTTTCCACAAGCAGAAAAAAAGTTAACGCAATGCACAATGAAACATCACCCTGACTCACAGCAGAGTTGGTGCGGTTTTACGGGCCGAGCTGTGAGGCGAGATGATCACCACCGACACGAGGCAAGTTTACCGCGCACTCTCGAGGATGGCCACACGTTCAGTATTTGACACAGAGCAGCAAAACAGCCTCATGACACGTTACGGACATGTCACACCACGGGATCTACTGTGTAATGACACCACAGTGCAAACAAGTACCAGATGCATGTTCTGAGATCGCTATCTCCAGGAGGACCTACCCTCTGACTACAAGTGCCCATCAGTGTGGCCATCAATGCTGCCAAGAAGAAAAAAAATAATAATAAAGTAGCAATTTTACTGTCTGAACATGCACTTGCTCTACAGGGGGGAAAAAAAAAAAAAAAAAGAGAGAGATTTAAGATTTTATTAACAGAAGGTGAAGAAATCCAGACAGTCTGTCCTGAAACCAAACATACAACAGCATTAGGTACAGTGGAACCTAATCATCAGTAGTAATTTATAAAAGCCAAGCAAGCAGATGTATAATTGCTTTAAGTAAACCCTGACTTAAAGAAGAAACTACATTTGAATTGAATATGGAGCGGGGGGGGAGGACAACATCCCTTTAAAGAAGATCCTTTGAGACACGTAACTGCAGAAAGGCTGGCGAATACGACATTGATTGGGAGTGAGGTAACCACAAACACCGCTGTCTCAAATGAAAAGGGATTCAAGGTCTGACCCAGAAAACAAGCATCGTAACCGCTGGGATGAAATTTTAATGATAAACACAAGATGCTCTGCATGCAGGCCAGATTGAATTATCTGATGTCAGCCAGTAAAAGCAAGGCGCTGGGAGAAAGAGGAGCCGCGAGCAGCCACCTTCAACGCGCAGCTCAGGTTGCACTTAATCAATCCTTGATATTCTGCCATCTTCTGGCTTGAGCTTTGGCAGCAGCGTGGAGAAAAAGAGAGGAGAGTGCATGAAATCGGTACATTTCTCTAAGGGAGAGCTAGCCCTGTATAGTTTATCTTTGCTTCCTCACACAAAGGTAACAGAGATCCGCTCCCAAACCAGTTCAGGCAAACTACGTCTCTATGCGTTACACTTGTTTTGAGTCCCCCTGCCCACAGACTGTACAACTTCCTCTTCAGAAAGATTAAAAAAAAAGCTCTATAGCAGCCAAAAAAAAAAAAATTATTCCACTTCCCAGCGGAGTTTGAAGCAGTACAGTGAAGAACACAAGATCAGGCCTATCACAGCACAGGTTCAAGTCAAGTAGGACTGTTCCCAGGCTTGCTCCAAGACCCCAAATACACAGAACCTCTCTCTCCACCCCTTTTTAATTTTTTTCTAACCATTCCCTGATCTTCCAAGATCCCGAGCTGAACCCCCTGAAAGCAGGGAGCAGCTGCTACACACTGCCACAGTTTCCAGCCACACAGACAGAGCGCGATGCCTGGTTGGGCTGCCCGAGCCCAGCCAGAGCGCTGCAGCTGCTCCCCAAAGTCAGACAGCAAAAAACCCGCTGAAAACCGAGTGGCCCTATTTTTCTCCAGCGCAGCAACCTGGAGAAGAAAGAAAGGTAAACGATGCCACAAGCCAGGGCTTAGAAAAACCCCGGGAAATGCCACACACAAAAATTAGCTTTAAGATCATCATCAACTTCTCAAGTCTTGCAAAGTCACACATCAGTGTAGCTTTACACACACGGCAAGTCTCGCTGTAATCTATGATTATTCACATGTAAAGCTAAGCACATAAGTGTTTGCAAAACTGGAGATATAATCATTAAATGTAACAGATAATTGATATTTATACTGAGAAGAAAATTGACTTCTGTTAACCTCAGCTATTAAATTACTTCTTCAGTACTGAAAGAATGCAACAGCTATTGATCACCAGATTCATTACACTTTTATGACAAATTTGAAAGCACAACGCCATTAGGTACAATATTATAAGCTGGGAGAGAAAGGGGAGGGTTATGTTTGGATTTAAAAAAACAACAACAACAACAAAACCCCAGCAAATTCCTCAATCTACCTATCCTAAATACTTACTGAATGCACATAATGAACTGCACAATTTGCTAATGTCCTTGGAAGTTTTAGTTATAACTTTAAGTCTGTCTTGTTTGATATTTACCATGAGATATTATTGGCAGAGGCGACAGTGCGCTACTGTCTTGCAGACTTCGATCATCACTGGCAGAACAACCAATTCTTCTTCTTTTGGGCAAGATTCACAGAATAGTTTTCTACTTGCAGCAATTTAAGAGATGCTTTCAGAGATCTCAAGCTACCAAAGCAGAGTGGAGGGCGAGTAGTAAACAGCTCAGGAAATAATATAACTTTCGTGTTATATTCTAAACATTTCATTTACTAACCAGGTAAAGTCAAACAGCTGCATTCTGATTTCCCCATGTTGTTTTATCAAATATATGCTCATAGCTTCATAAAAAGATACTTCATTACTAAAATTCATTTTCCCAGAGAAGGAAAAATTACTGAAAAGTAATGTGAGCGAAACCCATAATGTCGCCTTTCCTAATGGATAAGCACGTGCACCTTTCCCTTCAGTGGTTTCTTACCTGCCCACCTATTTTCATGAACGTTTCAGGAATCCAAATTACTTAATGGCACCACATGCCTTTACCATGCCAACTGATGCAAACTCACCAAAAGAATCAAGAGATACTGGAGGAACTGGGAAACCAATACGGAAATAGTGTGAAACTGCATAAACCCGACTCCCGTAATACACCAAGATAAAATACAGACTATTTGAGTTTAATATGCAGGATTAATATCCTTTATTAATTCTTTAGAAATTTAATTTATTCTGCCTACCATTTATATATTGCATGTTTGCATATGAACACAATGGAGAAAATGAAGAAAAAGAAGAGCTGGAGGTTTTGGCAGCAGCGTGGAGACAACTGGGGTTTCTGGCTCCCAAAAAAGTCCAGGAGGTTTCATTAGAGACAGTGGAACAGATACAGTAGTGCAGATCCCCAGCCAAGGCCAGGAAATACACTGCCCAAGCTGAAGGGCACAAAAGAAGTCAGGCTGCTATCCGCAGAGCCGCATCCCAGCTGCGGACCACAGCAGACTGGGAGCTGCGGTGTCTTACCGGTGGCCCGAGGAAGCCTCAACATCAGGCAGGCGTCCAGGTAAGACCTGGAGTACTCCAGCCACGTGAATTCTTCAAACCTCTTGCCACGGCCACTGTTTAGGTTAACCACTGTGTGGCACTGCCCCGCTGGAGGTCACAGACTACACAGCAGCAAAAACGTGGCATGAAAAGCAGAGAAGGAGAAGCAATAGGCAATGAACAGGATGGAAGAGAACAGAAAGGGAAACGTCCGAACTCGGAAGTAAAACAAGCAGAATATCATCTAGTAAAAAAGACAAACAACAAACCAAACCAATCAAAGGTTAAAATCCCCCTTTCACTCATGCCGTCTGCTGGTTTAGATTTCTGCTCTCAGTTGCCCAACAGCATTCAAAAGCGTTTCGATGTATATGGAGTTATCTACATCGAATGTATTTCAAAGCACCTTTCTTTTAACAAGTGTGTGAATTTTATAGTATTTTATAAGTAGTTTTCTCAAATCCCACAATGCATAAGCATACCATTAATGTGAAGTGCTACCATAAAATATGGAGCTCTGGTATGTTAGAGGACAACATCCTCTGACTGCCCCGAGCATGATATCATTTGTATTTACTGATGTGACTTCTTCTGGAGGGCTACTAATTCCTGAACCTGTAAAATTCAAGCAGAATACAGTAAAGCCTTACACCTACCAGTGGTAGTCATGGTATCCTCTTCCAAGAGTTTGGGAAGTTCTCAAAATTGAATTTAAGAGTGTAAACCAAACGAATAGCTAGCAATAAATGAAGGTCCTGACAAAGCTTTATATTAAGAAAAGAGAAGTTTGAGTATTCTCTGGGTTTTGGGTGGGTTTTTTCTTTTCCTCAGATTGTCTTTTACATAATAATGGAGAAAAGTAACAGTCCTTCTAAAGTTTTCTTGCCACAGCATGCAAAAATATCCTTGTGATTAAGAGATTTTAAGAGCACTTTTCAGTAGATGTGTACAATATTTAATAGACTCCGTATGCTTCCACAGCAAAACAACAGATACAGTTCATCAGAAAGTACTATAGTCTACAGGGACCACACGCACGTGAGACAGCTTTTTTAATAGTACAATAAAAATTTGTACTTCTGAAATCACCTGTAGATAACCATCATTATCAGTCACTTTAAGGACTATCTACCTCACCCACAAGGGAACTGCAGTCAGAAGAATTCACTCTTGTTGCCTGAAACAGCTGTTTCTTTTGAATTTGTTAGAAGGCAGCACATGAGATCTCAAACGGTAAAGATTAAACGAGCATTACTCAACCTCATACTCACCCAGCAATAACAACTCCATCGCAAGAATGTACATCACAAAGAATTTTTCCCAGCTCGTATTGCAGCTGGCTCACACCACCGATGCGGTTCTGCACAGAAAGACGAGACACAGTGTTGGGATTGCAATACATTCATCGAACACGTTAATTTGCTGCTTTGTGGAAAACTCCGAGCTTTGCTATTGCTACTGACAAGTCACAGCGCAGCTGAGAGAAGACCCATCTATTTTATGTTTGCCTCCTGGAATTTTTACAGACAGAAACAAAGGAGAAAGAAGCTATCGCTCTTCATTATTATTCCTAATCTTTAGGTAGAAAAACAACCATCACCAAAAAAAAAAAAACCAACCCCAAATTACCCACGATAAGTTTCTTTTTCCAGGGTATGTGATGAGCAGGGGAAGGAGCCTTCATCTTTAAGGCTGATTCTCATTATCAAGGGACACTCGAAGTAGAAACATCCCTCTCTCACCAAAGTCAACGGAGTAGCACAGCAAACAGAAACACTCACTCCCAAAAGCAATCAGTCATTGGGAGAAAACAGTATTACAGCTAGGGCACAGTCTCATAAATCCTTCAGCAGCTTTCCCCTTTTAACTGGCAAAAAGAAGTTGCAACACAAAAGACCGGCATTTCACTACCACTTCCTTGAACCAGGTTCCCATTTTTCTACAGCACCTGGATCACATTAAAGAAATTCCCTTTTACCTTCCAGTTGGTTTTCAAAGTGCGCTCTCTGGCGTGGCAGTTCTTGAGGGCGAGCTTCCAGCAGGAATGATCGGAGATGCTCGTATCTAATAGGTATCCTTCCTGTTGGCACAAGCGGTACCACAACACTTCGTCTTCCGCAAGTATTTTCCATGTTCTGCTGACCTAAAAGTCAAATGTGTATATATACACACCACTAAGTTTAAGTAAAAATTAGATTTCTTTTAAAATTAGTTAAGTAACATCTGAAATATACACATTGAAAACAATATAAGCCTGCACCGAGACTAAATTCTTCTCTAAACATATATACTACTAACAGTGTGGAAAAAAAGAACCTTTAACAAAATGCTCGTTTTCTGTGGATTCTTTTGAAAATAACTGAGTTTCTACTCCACTGAAACTCCACACAACATCGATGATAGTGTTTAGTGGCCACAGGGCCAACCTGAAATATCAGTGCACGAGAGATTTTTGAAGGGAAAAGCTGCAAGAAAACAATTAAGACAGCCTTTTAAGTTTAGAGCAAAAATAGGAATTTATTTTCATATTTGTAGCTAAGAAAACCTCTCGGATCATCCCACAGTATCTCTAAAGTCCGACCGACAATGCCTGATTATGTGTATGACATTAGTGATTTATAACCTATTGTATTACAGTATGCATAAATAGGAATGAATTATTAAGTTTTTCAAGTAGCCTCTAGTTGCTGTCCATTTCGGAGAGAACAGCTTCATCATAATCAATTGTGGGCTTAGAATTAAAGATTCAAGAGGTAAGAGCCAACTTAAGTAGCGTTTGTTCTCTGTAATTCTTAATTTAAGAAAACAGATGCAACCAATGAAAACTGCCACTGGTGAAAGCAGCAATCAACTGTAAGCTGTTTCCAAAAGATAAAAAAAAACCTTCTCAGACTGACATCATTTTTAGCAACTTACAATTAAGCATCTAATGCCTGTTTCAGTCCCGAGATTACACCAAGAATCTAGGTCTCCCACTGATACAAACTCTCCCAGGACCATCTCTTCATGTTTACTTGCCATTTGTTCCACGTTCACACACAGATACAAGATGGCACAGTAGGGTGAAAGATGAATATTACTTGTTCACTATTTTATAGGATTAATCTCCATTATATCTCCATTGCCATGCACATCCTGCTTCAGACTTCTTAATATCACAGCTTTCCAATACAAGGTATACTTTCAGAAAATTATGTATCATGAGGTATACTGAAAGTACAAGATCCTTTTGGCTAGTACAGATTTGCAAGAAGTCCCCACAGAACACAAGCCATTAGAGCGACAAAGCATGCAGTGAGGTTAGGGGGAAAAAAAACAAAAAAAAACAAAAAAACCATACTCCCTTAAATAAATCAAGTGATCTCAGAGTTTGTAACGTGATCTGTAAAATTTTACATGTGATGACTTGGAAGAGTCATGCTACTAACTGTAGGATCAGGCCAAGACCAACCAGTCAGAAAGACCCCCAACGCCGCAGGGAGAGAGGAGCTAAGGTCCAGGGAGCAGGTCAGTCCCATCAACACAGCCCTGTGCCTTACAGATCTCCCAGGTCACAGTAAGTGCAAAACCATCTTACACGCGTGGTCCCAAATCTCACAGAATCATAGAATGGTTTAGGTTGGAAAGGACCTTAAAGATCATCGAGTTCCAACCCCCCTGCCCTGGGCAGGGACACCTCCCACCAGCCCAGGTTGCCCAAGGCCACCTCCAGCCTGGCCTTGAACACCTCCAGGGATGGGGCCTCAGCAACCTCTCTGGGCAACCTGTGCCAGTGCCTCACCACCCTTAAAGTGAAAAAACTCTTCCTAAAGTTTCATCTAAACCTGCCCTCTTCCAGTTTGAAGCCATTCCCCCTCGTCCTGTCACTACATGCCCCAGTAAAATGTCCCTCCCCAGCTCTCCTGGAGCCCCTTCAGGCACTGAAAGGCCGCAATAAGATCTCCCCGGAGCCTTCTCTTCTCCAGGCTGAGAATACTACACTCCCTGCATACTATACAGTCCTCAAACAGTGGGACGGTATCTTCTGCAAAAATCCAGCACAGATCTCCCCTTGAAAGCTTTATGAAGCTTCTAGTCATCTTGTGTGTGTTGTGTGGCCAGTTGGTCTTGCTGCAAAGACATATGTGTATCCATACTGCTCTCAAAAGCCAACATCCCACTAGAAATCAAGAACTGCATCATAAGACAACTCTAATGACCTGTTTCTTCCAGGGAAAAAGGGAAAAAAAAAAAAGTTTAATGTGAAAAAAGGGGGGGTGGACTGCGTAACCTTGCCTGTGTTTTTAAGGTTTGATACCTACATACAAGAGCAGCTCCCAAACAGGAACATCCAAGATCAGCAGAACCAATATTCGAGTTAGTCATCAAGAGACCTCAATTCTAACCAGCAGACACACATAAACCCCTTCCATCACCAGACAAAGAAAACAACCTGGACAGGGCAACCACAGTGCCTTAAAAACGACAGGAACAGCACCGAGTCTTCTCCAGAAGACAGAAGAATATACATCATGCTGTAATATAAATGCAGTGCTTAATGCTCCTGTCCCTACAGGGACATGCTCAGGAAGTTCAAAAGAAAAAAAAAAAGGGCAATCCAAATTTCAAACCATTACAGTTTAGTGAGGAATTTGCTCTCAACTTGATTGTAAAGCAATATAAATCCTCATATTATTGCTTGGGGAAAGAAAAAAAAAAAAACAAACCACCCCACACCAAAAAAAACCCCCAAAACACACCACAAAAACTGCACAACCCCCCCCAGGTTTTTGCTGACGCACAGAAAAAGCAGCTGTTCTGCAGGAGTAGAGCATCCCGGCCAAGCCTGGGAACCTCTGCCCCCCTCCCATAACCGCAGCACGGTTCTGCTGACACTGGGGGCACAGGCTAACGCACAAGCACAAGTAAACAAAGCCAAACTGCGCCAACTTTTGCCTTGCTTTCAAAAAGAACAGAAAACAAAATTAAAAAAAAAAACAAACAAAACCCCAAAAACCAACAAACCAAACAACCAAACACACACAGCCCTTCTGAGTTTGCCAAAATAGACAATGTTGCACAGACCTTTCTAGTTTCAAGGTCTTAAAAGCATTTTATAGACAGTAAAAAAAAAAAAAGGGGGGGGGAGGGCACTACATAAAATTTAGACTGCCTTTTCAACTTTCAGGAACAAACATTCAAGGGGAATAAAGATCCTATCCTATTATGATTTTTTTTTTAAATCAAATTACATCGACTCCTGCTGCTTTACAAGCATGAATTTCCAAAGGGTCCCTAACGCAGCCTTTTCTTAATGCACCAAAACTGGCATGACAATCCCTTGTAAAAGCCCCACTGAGTGAGCCTCAGCTGCAAGAAATCTCTAATAAAAGTGTCTCAAGCATTTCACTTTACAGCACCACTGTGAGCTGCCGCATTAAAACCAGCCATTGGCTTGAAGTCAGCTTTATTAGATCCGCTTGACTTGGAGTTTCAGGTGAGGCCCCGAAAGCCAGAGCATTACGGCTTTATTTATACGCACCCATACGTTCTGCTTGTTGGAGAGTAGCTGAGACACGCAAAGCTCTTATTAAACTATGAACATAATTATTTCCAAATCTGCACTGCGTAGGAACTCCAACAACGATCAATGACAACATCTTACAGAGCTGTTTATAAATTTAGAGTCCCCGATTTAATTTTATCTTTAGTGTTCCTATTATCTTTTTACTACAGTTCTCAAACGTTCTCGGCAAAGAAACTTTGGTTTCCCCTGAGCTCCACACAGGAACAGTTTTATATATTATAGTTCAGCAAGTAATAATGTTCTGAAGGGCTTCAAACGCTTTCGCTGACATAGGTTTTGCTATTTGGTTTTGCCGTTGGGGAATATTATTTCCTCCCCTGCCCACCCCCCAGAAAAAAAAAATCCTAGAAAACTCCACCTCTTCCATCAAATCCTCAATTTCTTCTAATCCCGTCTAAACCAACTGGCTCAAATCCTAATGAAGGTTTATTCATCCCTCTCCATCTGATAACTGTCTTTGTTTCATTAGGTTTACTTTCTTCCCTAGTCACACAAAGACACGTTCAAGGTTCAGTCGCCGAAGCCAGGGGCCTCAATTAGAAATAGCTGGACTTTCAATTCAGTACAATACCTAGTGCCAAACAGTATTCAATCCAAAGCCATTCAGATGCACATTTACCAGGTGGAAGCTGCTCATCTTTCCAATTCACACCCATAATGTTATTTTAAGTCTCATCCTGAGCCCAGGATATTCTTATCCATCCGTTTCTCTGCTCTCTCTCTAAACTATGAGGCGGATGGATGATTACTCTTACTTATAAACAACCTTGATGCAAAAGTATCCTCAAAAAAAATAGATGAGATTTTCTTTTTTAAAATGTATAAACACTAAAAGCCCAACAGTTTGACAATTTCAGAAGCTCTAGAGGAAAGCATCTGAAATTCTTGATCTATGCAAGACAATTAATTCTTAAATTCCTAGAAACAGACTCCCTTGTCCTAGATACATACACAATTGTTGTGTTGGTAAACATTTCCAAACCATCTCTCAGACAAAAATTCTAACAGTTCAAGGCAATTTCCCACTGATCAGTTCAGAAATAAAACTGCCTTAGTATTGCCAGAGTTCAGTACATACTGTCGAGAGGTATTTCACACCACAAAACGCAATTTATGCAGTCTCTGCTAACAACTGTAACTATACGGAGAAGTTCATAGATTAGACCTTAGCACAAAGCTGAGCGCTTAAAGGATTGCAGATCTCTGCAGTATCAGCCCTAAATAACACAGGAACTTCTGATGCCTTTCAACCTGTCATATTTGTGGTGTCCAAGTGATTGTTTTTCTTTTCCCTCCACATCACGACCAGGAGGAAGGACTGACTGTTCTCAGACATCACCGAAGTCACAAGAGAGTCACTCATAGCATCGATACTTCTTTCAATGATCAGAAGAGAATCAAAAGCTGCTCACAGTGCTGGCACAAAGCAGAGGGAAAATTCTGCCATTACTCTGGACTGTTCTGCTGACACATTAAGGCCTGGATACCTTTCTCCTTGAATTACAAACATGAAATATCAAAAGGGACTGGCCTGCTGGATGCTACCGAATATCGCACAACTACGGCGAACCCACCAGAGCTTAGGAACTGGTGACACCATTAATTTACAGGCTGCACATGGCGTTCGTATTTCAAGTACCATACGGATAGTTTGTGTTTTATAGTACTAATTCCAAAAATCAAAGAAAAGCTGTGGGGAAGAGAGGGAGGGGGAAATATCAGGGTGAAATTAAAGTTCTCCAGAGCAGTCTGTGGTGTGATTAAATCTCAAAGAGGCTCCGCAGTCAGGCTACTTTACTGTTAGTCGGTTACCAATTTGGCATAAAGAACTAAGCAAACAGGTTTTCTCCAAAGGCACTCGCACAGTTCACGATGCCAATTCCACTAACTGGCCCAATTTCACTAAAATCCCAAGGTGCCTTAATAAAAAAACCTTTCTACGATAACACTGTAAAGCAGCAGGGCTTTCCATTTAACAGAGGAGGGCTTTCCCCCCCAAAAACCAAAATCACCAAGAGAAAAATGAAAATGGTATTTATTTTTATTGCTTTGCTTTTTATTTGAACGCTTAAAAAGAAGCCAGTTCTGCACTAGAAGCACTGGATATTCTGGGCATTTGCTCAGCTACCTGTCAGCTGCCACGTAGGATCAATAGACTCAGTCTTAGAAGGCGAATGAGGAAAGCAGAAAAATTTCACAGTGTTAAATGCATCTTATGAGAACAGGTTCAAGTTAAAAACCAAAGTGAGCGAGAGAGAAATCAAGTGCAGCCCAAGCCCAGAGAAGAGAAGCTGCCCTTCATCAGCCAATCTTTTTACTATGCCATGAGGTAAATTGATCGTGCCTAAAAAAAAAAAAAAGAAAAAAAAAAGATAGAGAAAGAATAACCTTAAAGTAATCCACATCAAAAATGCAATCCCGTTCCATTCCATGGAATGCGGCCTTCGTTGATCGTATATCTCTACCTCAAATGACAGAAACTCGAGCATATCTGAAAGCTTTTGTCTCCTGAACAGCACCAAAAAATAACCCTAGACAATTTTTTTCCTCTGCAGCAGAAGCCCTGCAAGAGGAATTATTTTTCTTCTAACAGTCCTTCTTCCTAAAAGCCATTAGGAAGTCAAAGATTTAAGCTATAACCACCTGTAGCTATTCAACACTACCACTTGCTCATACTGAACATTAAAAGCCCAATTTCGTTTCAGTGCACGTGCCATTTGGGTAATACTTGTGTCTCATTTACCATCCACAATACAGCCATACCCTGCCTGTCGCTTTTCAGTTTCTAAATGTTAACATTTCTTTCTCTGACAAACAACCCAGGGCATGGTTTGAGTGTAACACAAAGAATGGGTTTGGTTGGATTTTTGTGAAGTTGCAAGATGTGCTTTATACGTAAGAGTTCAATGAACACGGCCTGAAACACTAAATAGTGGCCGCGGGAGAAGCTGGCAATGAATATCCACAATAATCTACTCTGCCCCACAGGGTAATCAGCACTCGCCAATTATGTTTGCTTTGGAGACTCATTCAGAGAGGAGGTTCATCATTCAGCGTGTGAAGAAAGGAGATAAAGCGGCTCAATCGTGTGGGATGAACAGTCCTAAGTACAGTCGGGTGTGTGTGTTTAAGTTAGTAAAGCTGCCTAAAGAGACAGGCAGTTTACAACTACACGTCAATTACGACCATGTCTGAGTACAGACGGGTGAAAGCATTATCTTAAAGTATTACCAAAGAAAAATATTAACCCCTTGCCCGGGCGGGGAGGTGGGGAGGAAACCAGCGCCATTTAAGAATTTAGCCTCGCATGAAATCACTACAGACAAAATGTTACTACTCTGATTTTTGTGGTTCAAGTCACACACCGAATAGTGGGGGAAACAGCTGTTGCCATGCCCTTAGCACTGCAAGGTGTTAAGTTCTAAATATTGACGCAAAATGCTCACTTGTTTCTAAATCCATTCACTTGAATCAAAAGACCTTTGCAAGTATTTATTTTAAACTTTAAGGCTTCACTTTTGTCCAAGCCACGAACGTTTCATTTAACTCTACTCAACTGCAAGCTATAAATCCAGCTCATTTACTATTATTTTTTCAATTCAGCTTTGGAATTATTTCCAATAAGCAAAAGCACTATCAGCTGAGCCACGAGGGTTCCCACACACCTTCCCTGCATCAAGGTGCACTGTTTCTTGAATATTTCTGCCAATTTTACGTGGTATCAGAGAAGCAAACTGTCAGCAGCACTTACCTGAGCACACCTTCCCAATTCACTCTTGCCCAGGTACTGAAATATCTTCAGTGCCAGTTCATAGGGCAGCTGGATGTCAAAGAAAGGAACCTCATTTATTTCATTCTGAAAAGAAAAAAAGAGAAAATAGTTTGTTAGGCTTCTTTAATGCACAGCTAGATAGCAGCAAAAGCTACCACAGTGCGGAGAAAGGATGTTGCTTCCTCAGTGCCATCCCAGTTCCATGAAAAAGGCAGGAGCAATTCTGCCTCTCCACCCCGTAACAGCACATCATCAGACAGAGCACCCTGCCAGGAGGGTACCCGAGCTATTCTTTGTTCTTCCTGGGTCACATCAGGTAAGGAATATTACAAGGCTAAGTGGAGCTAACAAGCAAATTGAGGAGAATTGTAAGGCTTATTTATAGTCAGATGGCACAGAAACGTGAGACACAAGCTCCAGTAGAAAAGTTTCTCTAAATTTCAGCATCAAAAAGACCAAACAAGTAAGTGCTTTGAAGACATATGCCCATTATTAATTTCGCTTCCAAGATTTCAAACACAGATGATGGAAAATTAATGACTACTTTGATATAAAACTAAATGGGGAAGACATTACAGTTTTTGTCTTTCATTAGTAACATAAAAATGTCTTTTTCGTAAGAGATGTGCTGAAAGAGTTGCTGCTTTAACTGATTAAGTATCACAAAAAGAACACCCCACCCTAAGAATCCATGACTTAGCTAAACGCTGCACATATGTTTTTCCTAGAGTGTTTTTTGTTTGTTTTAACAACATTATTAAATCTTCCTGCAGCTATCATATCAAGATTTGTCCTTTCCCTCCTTTCTGTCTGGATATTCCAAATTTTTATACTAGAGAGAGAGAGCACAAAATAGCCCATTCTGACCATTTCTATGTTACCCATTCTGAAGCTTTGCTCTCTACTGTTTTCTCCTGGTTTCTGTACCCCCACCCCAGGCGCTCCCAAACACCTGATCACTCTCCATCACTCCCCAGGCACAAAATCAGCTGCTCAGATAAAATTTATATCTCCATTGTTTGCTGTCGGAAAGTCGGATCATCCCCTGCGTCTTAGCACTTCTCAAGCCCCCATATCTTTCTTTCTCTGTAGGTCTCTTCTACAATCAAAGACGGTAAAAATTAAACCTGCAGTGCCAATGAAGTGGCAAAACAGGCAGTGCTGGATTTATTTAAAGTACAGTTAGATGACAAAACTCTTACACAATACAGTTGCATGGAAGTTTTTAATGCAAATGGTAATCCACGTGAGATAAAAATGTTTAGACAGCACAAAGATGGGCAACGTTCCCATTAGGCCTTTTTAGCAAGATAGCACCAGTCTACAAACACTGGAACCTTGCACTTACTCTAAAGTTACTTAAACTAGGACCGGCGGCCAACCCTCCCGCTCCCCTTCCTTCTTGTCCACAGTTCCCTTGCACCAACAACCCCTTTTTGCCCCCTTTCCCCCTCCACGCCTTCTGCACGAGGACCACTGGCTCCAATCCCTGCCATGGATTTGGAAGATTGTTTCCTTTCATGTGATTTAAATTGCATCTATTTCCAAAAGGGACAGCAAAAAAAAAAAATAAAAAATAAAAGGGAATGGGAGAGCACATCTCCATGGCCACACGCAGACAGACCTCAAGCTGGCCAGATGTGAACCAGCTTGGATCCAGGAGCCACATAACCATTTCAGAGCAACGCGCTGCCCAAACAAATAAGATGAGCCATTCGGCAAGGCTTATTAGCTCGAGGCTTATGAGCTCAGGCACAGCACCACAATGAATACATTGCTTCCAAATTGGAGTTGACGCACGTCCAACCAGCAGAACCTGGTCTGTCTGCACATACCCAAAGGTATCGTCAGAAGGACAGGCTGCCTACAGACAGACCGGTGTAGACACAACAGTCAAGACTGACAGTTCTTGCACCAAAAACAGAGGAAAAAAAAGATAAAAACAGCTATAGAGATTTGGGGTTTTTTTAAAATTAATCTGCAAGTGTATGTGTAGTCAAACTGTAAGCACAAGCTTGCAACAAAGCACAAGCAACGGCTCATACTAATTCCATCCTAATGCAACTTTAACATTAGAGGCAGATGAAGGTCTTCCCTTTCTCCACCCCAAAAATTCATGCAGCTTGTCTTCAGCACAGCACTCGCCGCTGCAAACGAAGCGGTAATGTTAAGTCAGCACCAGCCTGTCTAAAAGTCTACTGGAATGAATCCAAAACTCAAATACTACCATCCCCTCTGAGACAGATTTGGGCTCCTGTGTGCTAATGGAGCACTAATTCTGTAAATGGATTAATTTGTGCCTTGCAGACAGAAATTTAATCTGCTCCTTTTAATTTTTTTAAGCAAAGAGTAATTAGTCACAGTTAGGTTAGTGAGAAGCAAGAAAATGGGTTTCCCCCCTAGTTTTCCTACGCTGTAAATAAAATCTCTATTGCATTTAGAGGAGTTATGAAAATAACTTTTATCTGGTTCAGAACTGTATTTAAAACAATTTCCAAATTAACTCCTTTATTTAAAGAATTAATACTTGTTTTCTTACTACACTGCAGAATACCCTTAATTACTGCACCTGCATCAAATAGCCCGAAAAAGCAACAAAAACTTTTTTTAAAAGGAAAAAAAAAAAAGGAAGAAAGGTAGATTTGGAAGGGTTAAAGAAAGGTGGATTTGGGAGGGTTAAAGAAAGGTAGATTTGGGAGGGTTAAACCCTTGTAAGGCAGAACATATTCAAAAGCTTTTAGGCTGCCCCGAGAAGCTGTGGCTGCCCCATCCCTGGAGGTGTTCAAGGCCAGGTTGGACGGGGCTTGGAGCAACCTGGGCTGGGGGGAGGTGGCCCTGCCCAGGGCAGGGGG